GAAAGAAAGGAAAACAAAGAAAGAAAGGAAAACAAAGAAAGAAAGGAAAACAAAGAAAGAGAAAGAACTGAAGATGGCAAATGACCCAACAAGAAGAAAGAGGCATCCCACAAAAATCCCCTAGGTATAGGTGGAGCACCTAAGAAAGGTTTAAAGTAGACATTTCCTGTAGGAGAGTCGATAGGGTAAGACGAAGTTGGTAAACTAGGTGGTGGATAAAATTGATATGATTAACAGAAATTGCCCCCCATACAGGCGACAGAGATTCTAAGTATATAGAATCAAGAAGAAAATCTGCCTGATGGTAAGCTAAGGCAAACTGAACCAAAATCTGTAGAGGGCAAAGCATACAAGTACCCTCTCCCAAAAAAAAAAAGACAAAAATGCTCATCATGAAATACAATGTCTGGAGAAGAAGGGGAAAAGTATACTGCGAAACATGTCTAAAAAAAAACTGAGGTAGGCCTAGCAAATTCCACAGTAGAGGTCTGGGAAGACAAGCCATAATCAGGTGGAGGAAAACTGACAAAATCTACGTCATCCTAAAGGGGTTTGGCAATTGTAGGAGGAAGGTGGGCAATATCGAGAGAAGGTAGAGTAGATTAATTGTAGAAGGTAGATTAATTATAAGTATAAATTATAAAGAGTTAAGAAAATAAAACAGTCAAGATAATGTAAATTTAAGTAAGTGTGTAGTGAAATAAACATATGTATAAGATGTTATGGGTAGTTCGTTGGTTGCCATTTTTTGGTGCAAAGCAATTAGGCTATCTGTGCCAAAAGATGTTACGTGTTGAAAAAATAAGATATTTAACCTAATTATCAATTTATCCATAAGATGAACTACAGGTAAACCAAAAATAACACACTTATTAAGCCTAATCAAACAGTGGAGGACAAAAAATTTAAAAACCCTAACCTAACAATAATACGCACAATATCGGGAAAAGAAATTTGTGTGGACTCTGACTCCAGGGTCAATCTCCTGATGAAGTAAAGCCAATAATTCCCCAGTTGAGGACCACCACCTGAAGCCTGTGTTAACGTTCTGATAGAAGATATAACCTCTGAAGTGGTAAAATGAATAACCAAACATAATCATGTTGACAGAAAGAAATAAAAAGTAGAAAAAAATTTGTAATGAAGTATTAAGTTCTGTAACTGGGTAGAAATATAAAATAATTCCACTTCAGAATATGTTACAAATAGTAAACTAAATATGAAGATATGAAAAAACAAAACACTTGAAGAGAGCACAAACTAAACATCTGAATATGAGCCTGCTAAACAAGAAGTGACAGTAAGTTAGAGTAGCATAGAAGGAGTCCCACGAGTCATGTGGGTGTATGGCACTACTATCATGATAATTTACATGTGAGAATGAGTTAAACCATGTGAATCAAGGGGAGAGTGGGAGTGAAAGACTTGTGGTATGCAAAAAAACTTTTTGGCAAATAGAGGGTAGCACTGAACAGGAATAACTATGTACGTGAGCGGAAGTAAGGTATCTTGTCAGAAAACTAACATTCACTTACTTAACATTCAAAATTTACCCGTCTTATTATCTTAACTACTCAAGATATTTTAATATAAACAGTGAACAATAAAAAAATATATTTAATGACGAATAAAGTTAATGATATTTTTAAAACTTGTTTCAATGCATTGAACATAAACAGCTTATGCAATATAAAGACAAATAGTTCATTTTATTATAAAAGATAACTTTTACATTACTCCACACTCACCCAGTTCAATCAATTTGTTCCAGATTTCATTTACAAGTTCAGTACGTGCTTCTGGTAGCTCATCTGGCAGCAATGAACCACAACATCGAATCAACAGTAAACTCTGTGTGCTACTTGATGTTCCTAAAAGACAATGCATTTATTGTATGTAAGTCTATGAAACTTACAGCATGGTCTTTGTTTTTCATTAGTAAAACATTCTGTACAACAGGAAGTCTCACCAATGGTAAAACTGCAAACACTTTGCAATTTTAAGACTTGCAATTAATTTTTAATACATTGTAAAAAATATGCTAACTGGTGCAGGAGGAAAACTCAGAACACTGAACTCTGAAACTAACCTTATTTTATAGATATGTTCAGAAGGTAGACATTGTATAAACATTTTCAGGAGATACACATTGTATAATCATGTTCACGAGGTACACACTATATAAACATGTTCGGACAATTGACATTGTATAAGTATTATTTTATTACAACTTACAACTTTGACTGTAAAGAAGAATACTTTTAAAACAGGTATGATATAGTGTATATAAGGAATTGTTCTACGTAATGTAAGAAAAGAGTGGCCAGAGCATCTAACGATTGATTTCCCATGGCAAGTCCATGTAACTGAAAAAAGAATGAATATCTGTATTGAAAGCAAATAGTTGTAACAGTTTGATTAGATGTTCATGTTTTATGTTGATTCTCTTTTGGGGTCTTATGAAATAATATCTCTAGTAAGTTGTGTTGCCTCATGACAAAGGGTTTAAGAGAATAGGTTTACAACAAAGCTATGCATAATAACATTACTGTCTAAACTATGTAACTGTTGTAGGAGATGTGAAGTGTTTTTTAATTGGGTGCTTATTTTGGAAACATGAGGTTCCAAAATCCAGTTGAAGCATTTACCAATGTAGTAGTTTAAAAAGTTATAAGAAGACATAATTGGGTGTAAGGTTATTGGTTTTTTATGGACTTTTGGTAAAATGTAGATTTAAGGTGTACTTGGTTGGTTTGCATGCAAAAAATTGTGAAGTTTAAAAGTAATAGTTTTTTCTTTCAGTGGTATTTTGAGTAGTTTGCTCAATTTTTTGTTGTATGTTGGGTTAAGGTCAACATTTGACTTAGTAAATTTAGATGTATCATTCAATAAATGTTTAGTTGGTAAAATCCTAACAGTTTCCTTTATCAGCTCTTTAAATGACATTGTCTTAATTGTTCATATGAAGTTTTAGGCCTTTTTTTCTGCTGATATCGAATTTTGTTTTATAGGCTTCTTTTTAATTAGTAATTACGTTAGACAGGATTCTTCACAAGGTCTTGAACTTGGGATTAATTGCTGTTGATTGGATTTGTGATTTGATTGTATATTTTTCCTGTCTGTAAAGGTCTTCAATGCTAGTTCCAAATTCCAGCTGAAGTATTAACCAAGGTTGTAGTAATAATTTAATAATATTCTTCTTTTATGTTAAAGCTGGAACTTGTAACAAAATAATACTTATAATCAGTAAATAAACTCAAAATGAAACAATTAATTGTATAAACATATTCAGGAGATAAGACATTGTATAAACATATTCAGAAGATAAGACATTGCAAAAAATCAGAGACATTGTATAAACATGTTCAGGAGATAAGAAATTGTATAAACATATTCAGGAGATAAGACATTGTATAAACATATTCAGGAGATAAGACATTGTATAAACATATTCAGGAGATAAGACATTGTATAAACATGTTCTGGAGTAGACATTGTATAAACATGTTCTGGGGTAGACACCGTATAAAAATGTTCAGGGGATAAATATTGTATATACTAGGAATACCACATCTTTAAAAAGTTGGTGTCCACTTGCAAATTTTTTTAACCCCAAAAATGCAAATAATTAGTATGTTGGCCAGATAAACTCAGTCATGGGGCCAGCATTAATTTTAACATGTGATTCATAATGGATGTGTGGGCCAGATAAACTCAATCATGGGGCCAGCATTAACTTTAAGATGTAATTCATAATGTGTGTGGGCCAGAGAAACTCAGTCATGGAGCCAGCATAAAATTTAACACATGATCCATATTGATTATATTGGCCAGCTAAACTCAGTTGTGGGTCCAGCATTAATTTTTACATAATTAGTGTGGGCCAGATAAATTCATTCATGGAGATAGGTACTAGCTGACAGTTGGAACATACTGACCTAAACTTTAAAATCATACTATATTTTCAAAACATTAGCATCAATTGACAGTCGAGAATGCTCACTGTGAATACAAGTTAAGGTAATCTGCAGCTGTTACAAACTATTGCCTATGCATTCTTACAACCCACCATTTGGCTCATAAACAAGCAAATATCTAAGGAGGGTCTAATATAAAGAGATATTTCTGAAATTATGGGGTGCTATAGTGACATTTTGTTGTTATTGTTCTTGTTGAGGGGTCCAATGAGCAGATGGAGATATTTTTGTATGCTATTGCTGTGATGAGAGGAAGAAATTGCAGCTTATTTTCACCAGTATCTGTTCTGTAGTTGTTAAAGACTTGAAATGCAATAAGTACTTGAACTTAATATGTTCCACTCAGAACACAGAAATCATGTCAAGTCAAGCTGCAGTGCATCGAGTGTCATGTTCCGTGTTATGTGAAAATAAGTCATCTCTACTTCTGGCCTGATTAATCATGACTAATATTGATCTCTAGAGTTGTAGCAAACATTTAGTAGATGTTGAATAAACACAAGTATTCATTTCTATGAGACTTCAGAGTAAGCATCATTAAAGTCACTCACCTAACTCTAGTTTCTTTTTATTATTATTACACTAATTAATCAATAATTTTGGTTCAAACTAGTATGAAGCATATCTTTACAATTTTAATAAGGAAATGTTTATATACAACTTTCAATGCCATTCTTGGGTGTTTCAAGACGGGTATCTCCAAAAATATTTCATATACCCTCAAGTACATGCTTGACCAAAATTTCACATTAAAATTGAGTTTCTTTTATAGTTAAACAAAGTTTTGAACTGAAATGATAAAGCTGTCTGGTTCAAAATATTATTTGGTGAACTTCACTTACAACATTGTACCTAATATCTTTATATCAAGACCACCATAAAACATTAAACCTACCTATGTGCTTTATTTCAGCAAAAATGTCTTCTACATCTTTCCTCGCTATTCGTCCCAGCTTCCGTACATCAAGATCAAGCCTATAAAGGGCTTTGTCAAGAGAATGAAGTCTTGCTTGTGGTGACAATCTTTCTTCTTCCGTTGTAGTTTCATGCTGTAGTCTCCCTAATGTTGCCAAGAACCTGCAATTGAGGTGTAAAATTAATCTCTCTCTAACAATATGTTCAACAACTGAAATTTTTTATACACTAAGCAAGTGGATGACATTATATCCATCAAATTTTTTCAGTTTGAGGTTGAAAAGAAGCACACTTCTTAGTTCTGTATCCTCAAACTTCCAGTTAGTGGGTCCAAACTGACTATTCTGGGGTAAATACCACACATGTAAGTTAACTTAAAAGTATGTTTTCTTGTGGTTTCATATTACAGTTGTGAAATATTTGTACCCACCTTGTTCTTGGCAGTTATTTTTTAATGAGTGTCCTAATTTAACCCACTGACTGCTGATTCACCATACAATGTATGATCTGCCTTATATGGTGCATGGATTGCAAAAATTCTGTGCTCACTTAGAGTAGCTGCAGTCAATGGGTTAATGAAGTTATATATATAAATTTTTTTAATTTTCAATTATACTTAATCCTTTGTTCTTATACTGAGTCTGAGAATTTGTTACAGGCCTAGGCCAGATATTTCTAAGTCACTAGACACGTTTTTCACTATTTTTTGAATCTTCAAACATGTGCAGGGGAGTTGGTTAACTATAAATTATGATTGGTTACACAGAAAAGGAACAGGTTCAAATAATGTATAGAAAACATGTAGTCCTACATTACATTAGTTGTAATATTCCAGAAAGGTGAATGGTTGAGAATTACATAGAACAGTAGAGATATATCTTTTAACACTGAAATTCAAAGTCAGTCTGTGAATTTATGCATTGTTCAGGTTGGCTTTATTAAGAAAAGTGTAAAATATTTCACTAATTCTCAAGCCACTGCATACAACTAGGCTGTTGACAATAAAAACAACTAGTTCAATAATGACACATTGAGTAATTCCAGTAACAAATGAAGACTAGTTACACCAGACAATTCATAAACACTGTACAACTAACATTCACATGCTGAGTGATGAGTCCAATCAGGCACCTGTTGATCAAAACCTGTTGCACGCAGAAGTGACAGTAGTGAAAAATTACCAGTGTCCCCTAACTTAGCAGTTAAGTATGTATGTACTGCAGCTAAGCATATTTCAATGTTGTATGTTTACTATTATTAACATAACACTATATGACAAGCCAATCAACAATAAACATCTTGTACAAAGCATATGACTGTTAAGGTACATCAGACATTGCAGTTTAAGTTTCGAAAAGATGATTGCACAAAACATATGTAGTCAATTTGTTTTATTACTGGATGTTATGCATGGGTAATGTAATTTTGATTTTATTAAGTCCCGGAAATAAACTTTTTATAATCAAAAATTCAGTATCAAACCACAAATTGTTCATAGTTTCAAACAAACATGTTGATGTATTTCTTTTGTATAAAATGTCATTAAAAACAGTTGAAAACTTTAAAAAAAAAACTCCAATATTTGATTATTATTTCCATTTCTGGGTGTTGCATCAGATCTATTTAACCACATGATAAAGAAAATCAAACTTTTGACCAATCAATGCATAGTTGTTAGTCAAACTTGTATGAACAGATTAATATGATTTTGTTATTTCTTATTCCTAGTTCAGGTTGCAAAAAGAGTGCGCATCCACTAAACCAAGAATCTTCTCCACATTATTATAGAGTTCATCAGGTGTAGTTTCTAAACACTTTAGTATATGGTTAGCACTTGCATTCTTTTTGGGCATTTTGTACAAATAGTGGGGTTTTATTCCATTTTGAAATTTTGTGTGCCTGAGGTGTTCAGATTTAAGTCTTGCTATAAGGGTTGTATCATGACTATTTCAACTGTATTTTTCTTATACCATTCCTCCAACAGTTTCCTCTGTAACATTTGCAGTTGATGCGCATAGTACACTTAGTTTTAATTCCCGGGTTTTTGATTCATAGCTGCTTTCTTTGCCAGGATATCAGCTTTCTCATGTGAAGGAACCCAAAGAAAGCTAATGTCAATAAACTTATGTAACTTGTTTAAATTTCTTGCAATTTTAATGAGAATTTCAAAGACACTAGTAAAACACTTTTCTATTGCTTTGATAGCAGCTTATGAATCTGTTAATATTGTGATTGTGCATTTTCTGGGAAAAGTTTTATCTAAGAGGGAAATAGCCTCACTAATAGCAATGACTTCAGCCTAGAAAATGGGAGTGCCAATTGGGTTGATATGTAATACTTCTAGTGATTGTTCTGAAGATGTATAATAGATTCCACTTCCAGAACCTCCAATTTCTAGGCGAAAGTCATCCGTATAGATAATAATAACATCCTCGTCAATGCTATTGATAAGTTCTAGACTCAGAGGTCTCAGAAACTGGATGTTCGTGTGATTTTCCTAAGATCTTCTCCAGGTTAGTGTTTATTATCAGGATATTTCTGTTAGTGTGTTGTGCAGGTTTTAGTATTTGCTTTTTTTCACTTAGTATAATAACAGGAAAGTTTTTCTTATTTCCTGTATTTTGATTATAGTTTTTTGTTTCCATCCTCTAATTTGTTGTCCTGTTCTGTCTTTAGGTTGTAGGGATCAGTCTTTTATATATTTAAGTGCTTGAAGCTGTCTTAGTGATCTTAGTGGACGAAAGTCTGCCTCTAAATCAGCTAAACTACCAGGGCAATCATTTCTTAAGCCAAATGATATTGGAAGTACTATATATTGGATTCTACTTCCTTTGTCCCAGCTTGTTTTGTGGTGACGATCCAAGTAGATATGGCATATAGTAAAAGTGGTCTTATAATAGAAATAGTAAATAATCCTGAGGCACAACAATTCAGCACCCCAGTCAGTTCTAGCTAAGCATTTAAGTATTCTTAACCTTTTCCTACCTTTGATTGCTATGTCACTGATATGGTGAGAAAAGTTTACAGCTGGGTCTAGAGCTATTTAGACTTTAATGTAAAGTATAATCTCATTATTAAGTTGTATTTGAAGTTTCCAGGAACATAAGCGGTTGTTGGTTGACAACTGTACATAAATTTACTTGGATTAATCGTTAGTTATAATATATTTGCATATTTCTCTCTATGGCTTTTCTGACCAAAACTCATAAAGCAGCAAGCCAAATGTTTAATTTTTCATGATTTTTGGTAAATAACTGATTAATCTAAATTATGATTAAATCAATTGTTACAGCAATAACTAATAACACTAAAGGACAAGGGACCTTTTTGATCCATCTAAGCCATCCTTTCCATGAACACTAAAAAAACTCAAAACCAACCCTTACCATTTAAATATTTATCAAGTTTCCCTGTAAATCAAAAAGTGAAAAGGTCATAACACTGAATCCTCAGGTACTCTACTCGTGACATTAATACAATTTGACTGAATTCCATTTATAACAATCCTCTGCTTTATTCCCATCTAGCCAGTTTTCTATCCAATGAACTAACCTATCCTCCACACCTACATAGATAACTTTTTTAACAAGACTTTTATATGGCACCTTATCAAATGCTTTCTGAAAATTCAGATAAAACAAATCCACACCTGTAACCTCTTTAAACAATGTCAAAAGATTAGAAAGATAAGACTTTCCCTTAGTGAAATCATGCTGACTATCCAACAAACTGTAACCCGTTTCAGATATGTCACGGGTCAAAGACCATGTCATCGCGTTTGTTGACTTGCATTAAAGATTTTATTGAACTACTATTTCATGAATTTATATCAATAAGTTTGGTATCAAACTGTAGATTATAATTCAAATTTTAGTATCATACATTACTCAATTTCTTAATTTAAAAGTAAGTATTAAAAACACAGACATACATCAATTTTTGTATGTCATGTGGTATGTTGAATGCAGCACTGGTTCATATTAGATGTTTGTGATGTCAAAATACTAAGTCTATAGTTTTGTACAAATTAGGAACTCAAATTACCAATATTGACTAGCTAGAATATAAAATAAGAACCTCTTATATTTTATTTTTGCTAAGATATTGCTCATGTAATAAATCAAACACAGTGGCACCCTGCTCACCTCTTTCCATTTTTGGAAATGCTCCCTTATACACTATTACTTCTTTTATATGACATGAATCATCACTCTAAAGTTCAGAATGTCCTCCTAGTGGCTTTCTTGGCCATTTTAAATTCTTAGGATGCCATCTCTTTCCTTTGAATCAAGATTTCAAGGAGGTAGGTTGTGTCTTTAGTCTGGTCAAATTTCATATTTTTTTTAGACTGAAATACAGCTTAGTTACTAAGCTTGATAAATTATAGTGGAATTCTATAATACTGATATAGTAATTTATGATTTTTTTGTTATTCAAATGTGTATATAAAACCTGAAAAAAATTATTTCATCTCATATCCTCCATGTGCAAAATTTTAAAAGGCCTACGTCAAGCAGCAACCTTGTACAAAGGTTGTAATTAGAAGAGATAATTGTTTGCTTTACTTCTTTATTTACTGTTCTATGCTTTAAATTAAATAAGTTTATGAACTTATTTCTAAATAGCAATAATCTATATACATAATAATTGAGATGTGACTGTATTTTACAATCATAGTCTACTAAAACACAGCCAAGACAGGTCACTTTGTAAAGACTAAAGGTCAGTTTTATATTATTGGATATGGTAACGTGAGTGCACGTGTGCCTCATCATTAGCCAGGCATGGCTGAAAGGTCAATATAATAAAAATAATAAATATATTTAAATGTATAATGTTATGAGATTTAAGTTATTTAGTATAAACATTTATGTTTTCGTGTTAGAATCAGTTGTCATTGTAGAATGGAAGAGGCATAATTTATATTTATTTTCAAATTTTTTATGGTTGTTACAAGATCGGTCAAATCTACCAAACCCATACAGAGGTTTGTTACTGAAAATAACAGATAAAATATAAAAGTTTTTTCTCAAGAAATGTTTGATAACAATCTGTACATTATATAGATTTTGCATGTGAAATTTGAAATTGTTTTGATGCATAAAGTATTTTTAATCTTAAAATGAAAATTACTTTGCATGTTGAATAGGCAACAAGCAAAA